GTCAAACCATATTGAAGGAGCAATGCTGAAGACTTAAAAAGTATTTTTGGACTAGATGGTTGCATAATTTTGAAGTAATAATCATAATGATATTTCAACAACAACAACAACAATAACAACGTTTCAAAGTTTAGTGATTGTTTAAACAATGCCTACTGCTTGCCTTCATTGTATATTTCTATGTACGAAACATGTAAGAGGAATTCTCTGTTCTTGCTCTTAGCTTTCTGGATATAAGCAAACATTTCTTGTAGGGCATATCAAGCAATCTCTTTTTGCAAAAAAATCTGAGGAATATTTAGTTATCCATTGATCATGTCTTGTGGTCAAGATAGCATGCTTGTGTTGAAATGTTGAAAAAGTACAAGAAAACAACATGACAAATTACTTACCACAGCATAACCATTTTCATGATGGAATGGTTTTAGGTGTTAGGCCCACACATTTGTAATGAACCATTTGTGTGGGCAGCTCTCATTCCCATCGCACCAAATCATTCTTTCATTGTTCTCCGCTGCACATGGGCAATACGGCAGCTCCTCCTCATCACTTTCTTTTGCTTCAGCTAATAGAGAAATTAGTATAGGTAATCATGCGATGGCGAGTACAATTAGGGATTAATAGTACTAGTGATTTTTGGAAATCTTGCCAAAAATTGGACGAGCTGCCACAGTGGTTTATTATTAGCATGACAAAATTTAGTACTTCTCAATGTCAACATTGTATTCTCTTGCAAAGCCCAGTCCTGGCAGACTTTCAACCAAATTTTGGTGCTTTAACCTTTCAAAATTATTCAGAAACAAGACTAATGAAAACTTATAGAAGTCAAAAGTAATAAAATCAAAATCACATACCTTACTTAGCGAAAATCACAGGACAATTTCTCACAACCACATGTATTTACCCCAAACCTGTGGCAGCCATTTTGAGTAATACAGATTCGGCTTCTATTGTGTTATGGGATATATTCATTTAGTCACATAGCAACAGCAGCAGACAACAATTTGCATTTGTTGCCATATGGCAACTGCACCAAATAAAGGGTTAATCATTGCAAATCCTTGGGGAGATTTTAGCTGCTTTACATCAAGCCATTCTTCCGGATCATCACTTTCTGAATCTGTGACAATGGCATCCGGGTGTACTGCTTGTGGACTACTTTGCATTAGGTATGCAAGCCTTGATTTTTCGACTTTTCTGTTCCTCTTCAGTGAAATCCATAGAAGCTATGTTACGACCGAAATCAAGTAAAACTTGCTCAACTAAATTAAATTTAAGATGCTTCATAAGCAACATCACTTTATGAACAAATGCAAACCAGTTCAACTTATTTTCTCGAAGCAAGCCTGCCAAGTATTCATTACTAGGTGGAGTAAAGACATATGAGAAAACAGTGTCAAAGTCTGATTGTGTGTCAGTGTCCACAGTGACAATTGCCTCGGTATGATCACAGTTATTTGAGGCATCACTATCAAACCACTTTCCATTTAAATGCCCTATGTTGGAGTCTTCATTGTCAATGTCATATTTGTCACTATCAGTCCACTTGCACAATGATGAATTTTCAAGATCGACTTCTGACTCAAAAAACCCTGTTCTTCAAGAGCTGCAATTTCTAAGACATGCTTCCTGATTTTGCGTGCTTTTTGCAAGGCATTTTCAACATATTTTAGTCTGGTGTAATTTCACATATATGTATATTATTTAAAGTTTTTTTTTGTGTTGCTACATTCTTGTATACATTGAGATCGTCTGATTGGCTGTTCCGAGATTGATCTCATCTCATCTGATTTCATTTATCTGATTTCATTTGATCAACCAAGTCGAAAGCTCAATAAAAACATATTTCAATCCGGAGAAGTTTCATTAATCATAATATGCCTGGATTACAAATCTTTAAACATATTTACTCTTAAACAATGACATTGAATTCATTTCCCGCAGTTGTTTTGGTAAAGTGCTCCATTCTATTGCTGCTGAACACTGAAAGTAAGACTGACCTATTTTCAGTTTAGTTGGAATTACATGCAACAACGTATCATCTCTGAGATCTGTTGTGCATTTCTGATCTTTTAACAAAATACCCAGTTATCTGTTCTGTACAGTTAATATTATTTATTATCTTAAAAACTAATTGTAAGCGAAGAAAACGTCTTCTCTTCTCAAGTGACAATAAACCAAGTTTAGTTTGCATTTCTTGTGTACACATTTTGCGGTTTGCTGACAGAATAATACGCATTGCCCAGTTCTGTAACTGTTCTAGTCATTGCAAATTTTGTTTACCGCAATCTGCCCAAACTATACAGCCATAATCTAAGACAGGTAGGATGGTTTGTTTATAAATGCGTAATAATGTCTTGTGGCTAAGGATGGATGAAATTCGGTTAAGTTGTTTGAGCTTGGGGTACATCCGTGCTGATAGTCGCAGTAGGTGTTTGTTCCATTTCAAACAGCTGTCAGTATCTACGCTGAAATGATCAGATTGCTATAACCTCTTCCCTCCTAGGTGAACATTCAAATTGCAAGTATTAGCCACCGAATGTCTGGACCCAATCAGCATAACCTCTGCTTTTTATGGTTACTTATCATGCCATTCTCATCAAGCCAGACGTCTATATGTGCAAGATCCTCGTTTATGCGCTATCAGCTACACTGATCCAGGGAGACAAACTATTTTTTGTCCTTTATCAATTGCTACTTTCCAAGCATCCACAGCTCTGATTAAAGCTACTGTTGTAGAGGAATGCTTTACATAGGCATACTCATGCTGGCTGATAAGGCCAATTTCCTTGGCATGCACTTGGAGGTTCGAATTTGCAAATGACTTGTGGATCTTAGGGGCCGACCATTTAACTTTCGACGGGGGGGGGTGTGTGATTTTGAAAATAAATTTCCTGCAAGGGTATTCTGAACAAAAAAAACCCTGCACGAACAAACTGGGAGAAAAATATCCTGCCCCAGTATTTGGTGGGGGAAAATATGTTGCAAAACAGCATGGTTGCAGGGATCGATTTGACCAGTCCCAGAAGATCAGCTGGTTTGATTTTCAGGCACTAGTTTATATACTGCTAAACTACGCGAAGCGTTCCTCTTTTTATTTCCTAACTCATTTGGAATTTTCCTCATTAGCTTTGCAAATTTGAAAAACTCTTTGCAAATCCATTGAGGGAATTTGCAATGTTTCTATCGGCTGTTGCAATATTCCAATGCAAAAAAAACTTCATTTTAAATTTTCCTAACTTCCTGTTTTTAATTTTTTGACTTCCTGTTCTGTTCCGACCGTTGTCATTAGTGGATTATTTTTGTTGGCCAATTGCAACGAACAGAACAGGAAGTTAAGAACTTCTAACAGGAACTGAGGAAAATTTAATCAACTTTTAGCAACATTGCAAATTCCTTCAGGTGATTTGCAAGGGAGTTTTTTAAATTGCAAAGGTAATGAGAAAAATTGCAATCAATTTAGAAACTCAAAAGAGGAACGCTTCATGTAGTTTACCTGTAATAATAAAGTATAGTGCTTTATACAGATTTCGAGCACTGATAAAACTGATAATCTCACATGTGAGAATATGATAATTTCACATGTGAAAATTATCGCTTTTCAATTATTGCTTTTCTGTAAAAATTATCGCTTTTCAAAGACTGTCCTTTTTATAATAAACAGAAAAATACATGGGTGCTTGGAAATACCGGATTTAACACTCAAAAACATCTGGTATTTCCGTGCACCCATGTATTATTCTCTATATATTAACTTTCTGTTTGTCAACATTAAACTCAATTCTATATATTAAAATGTAAACTATTAAAAGCCATGCTTTTACAAAGAAAACAGGTTTATAATCAAGTCAACAAATTTGACTTTACTTAAAAACTGGTTTAGAAACTGGTTTTTATATGTGCATGCTACCTTTAATCAATCACAAGTTGCTCTCTAATTTGCTGTGTTCATGATTCTTTCCTTTTATTCCGACTTGTTTTCTTGCCTTGAAGCTTTTGTTGTACTGAATTTCCATACTTCTCCAAGCATGTCACAACTAACAATACCATGTGTGCATATTGAGCGTTAATCAGTGATGCCACCTCTAAAATGGTCTTCTTCAAAGGCTGGTAAAAGTCATAGACTTCTGATTTCCCTGTGAAAATGAGATAAATCTATTTTAAGTATTGTTACTGTACATGACAACCATTTTGATTCCTGCTGTTTTATATATTTTGCACATGATTTTACTCCACTCTTCTACTGAAAACTGTTTGGTGTTCAAGCTTGACAACAATTTTTAATATTGGAAAACATTTTACACATGTGGTCTTTTATAAACTATACTTTTAAAAACCCCAACTGGCCCAACAAATACTTGGTAAAATTTATGTATTAAGGTTGTTACCTGATTTCAGCATTTCACACTGAAGGCAACAGGGTATCAGCTACAGCATTCTCTACCATTTCTTGATGTCTCTTTATAGTGATACTTAAATTCTCCATGGATTCCTTGAACTCAACACAGGATTCGTAGTCAGTTTTTCTCACACTTTCTGTGGTCAATGCAGCAACTACAGGGTACTTCTCTTGCATGGTTGACAACACACCATATATGCTCTTTTTTGTAATATGGAGTCCAGCCCTTAGTCTTTTTTTCTAATACAAGTAGAACTGATATTCTCATATCGTGTTCCATTCTTGCCCACTGTTCACATTTCCTTTGGCTTTTGAAATTATGCTGGTGTGATTCGCACATTTTCAACACGAAGTTGTCACTGATCGTCTGGAATGGATTAAGTGGATTGTTGTAATATAGATTTTTTCATTTTTTCGCTAAAGTTTGGGTTAGTACAACAACACTTTTCCCACCATCTTGTGTGCCTACAAACCCTTGAAATGCGAGCGGAAGGTGGACAACAACAGCTTTGTTATTCATAACAAGTGCAGGAAAGCTTGTAGATTGCTGTGTATTTCCTTTCTTTCCATGGCTTCTCTGCACTTTCCATTCATTAAATAATCATAAGAGGCATCTTGCTTGGAACTTAGTCATCCCAAGATCTGCTTCAGCATCTCCTTCAGTGATATCTTCCAGTTGTGAGATGGATGTCAAACCGCCCTTCTTCATGTTGTCAAAATACATCGCTAGTGAATTATTTTCGAGCCTCAATTGCAGTGTTTCTTTGCAGTGGAGTTCTTCTGTTTCCTTTTCAGCTGAAACAGTAGACTCTGCATTGCTTGTAGTTATACCGGCTGCATCAACGCTAGCAACATTTAATAATACATTTACATATGCTGTTGGATTATTTTCCTCATCGGCTATTTTGGAAATGGGCAAGTGACAAATACAGAAATACTTGTTTTTTTCCATCTACCAAACTGTCATTACGTCATTGTTGGAAAATTATTTTCCTGCTTTATACTTTTAATAGTTTGATTTTTTAGTTATATTTTTTCAGGTTAGGTTAGAGTTCAGGTTTATAGGCCATTAGGGTAAGGGTAACGTTTGGGTTTAAGGTTTGTTTTTGCCATTTTAGAAAATATTTTAATGGAATGAACTTATCCAAATGTAAGTTTGATGGATGGAATAGTGTATTATAAATTCAATATAAATGTTGTTAAACAAAAGGTGGGGAAAACCACAAAACTCTGCAATGGCGTCCCTTTTGTATCATTCTGCTGCTCATGCTAGTAGATAAGATTTCTTGATCAACTTCATCGTCTAAACTGAGTACTTACGCGTTTCTCTATGTTTACTTCACGAGCTCACAGTGAAGAACTGTTTGCCATTTCATGTTGCATTTGATGAATACGCCGCGAAACTAGAAAGTAAAGCAAGTGTCTCCAGAAGAAACTCAAAAGTGCAGTTCAGAGATATTCTTCTTCAAATGAATGGATTACCTGTCATAATATATGCCAGAAGTGATTTGTATGTTCTCTTACTTGAGAAACCAATAGGTGTTATCGTAATTGAATACGCCGCTGCCGCGAACCAGCGGTATCTCAGTGGAAGTATGGACGAAAACGAGGCTAAAGGGTCAAAAAACACAAAACATGACCCTATAGCCTCCTCTCGATGTGAAAATAATGCATATACCTGCTGGTCCGTAGCGTAGACGTATTCAATTACGATAACAGCTATTGACAATATCTCACTGTGTAAAGGCATAGATCTCTTGGTAGAGGAAAACCTAACAGATACTTCAGTTGGCATACAAAAACACTCTCTTTTGCTTCTAAGCTCTCTTTTTCCAATGCTGAAGAAGCTTCTTTCCTCTGCGATAGATTTTGCAGTAGTCTACCTCATTTTACTCATGTTGCTAACTGGAACCATTATGAAAATGTTCTTAGGTATAAACGAGAGCTTTGCTAGCAATATACATACAGAAACGTTCAAATTTGTACAAGAATTGGAACAGAGAGAAAATGAAGCTTGCCAAGAAGCAGAGAAAAGTCTGGAGGATTTGATTACCAAAATTTCAAAGGAGATAGAAAGAGATTCTGAAAAGCTAGCCCTGAAGAGGAAGACATGTGACACAGAAGAAATAAATGTGCAGAGTTTGATATTGCCAACAAACACAAAAGCCTTGAGCAATTGAAGTTGACAAATGCAAGCATAAGGAGAATATTCAACACATGTAAATCAGGATTAAGACGACAAACTGGTAAGAATAAACATCGAACAAAGATAGACAGAGGTGCGGAAAAGGCTGTTTACAATATCTTGTATCAGCAGCTGAAGGCCCACGAAATACGGTGGGGCGATGATGGAACTGGATATCTAGAAGACAGGAGAACACAGGGAAGGGAGCTTTGACAAATAGCTAATGATTATCTGAAAGCCAAAGGCCTCCCACTAGTCAAAAGCAAGGAGACGGTGCGATCATGGGGAAAACCCAGAAACAAGAGGTCGAGACAAGCATCCCAGCACAGAGCCAAGGGTCTGTGGAAGGCTCCAGGTTAAATTACCAGGATCTAATTACCCACACGATTGCAGTTATGTTTCTGCTGGCAAACAATATGAAGGAAATTAGGTATAAAAACACTGACAAATTTGTCCAGGAAAATGTAACTGTAACCGTTACATGTAAGCCAAAGAAAGTGTACCCAAGCTCAGCAATGAATTGGGTTAATGACCTCTATAGCATATGCCATCTCTTTCCGGAAGAACATGAAATAGGAAATGACACCGAGTCCATTACCTTAACTCATGTACCAGATCCTGTTGGAAAGTCTGCATGTACCAGCGATTCTTTAATTGATCTATCTGGCAACAAATTTGATACTCAGTTGCAGGATGAACATCAAGATTTCCAACCACTCAGCATGGGTATTTTATTTAACATGGCTTTTGGTGGTTAGAGACTCGTTATTTCAATTTGAGATGATGAATGTTGAAGACAATTACATGTGTTGTGTTGAAGGAGTGGACTCCCCATAATTGTTCTCCTCAACAGAATGGAAAATGCTTTGATGTTTGTGATGTTACTCTGAGTGTATATCCACACCGGGCAGACTTGAAAAATATGCCTGGCCACAGTGGGAATCAAACCTACGACCTTTGGAATACTAGCCCAATGCTCTGCCAACTGAGTTACGCGGTCAGGTCGGTTTGAGTATGCGATATTTCGGAACTGAGTCTAGTTCCTTCGATATCAGTATAATCTAATAATCATCATACTTGCTGTGTTGGTGTAGTGTACTCAGGTGAATAAAACTTGAACCGACCTGACCGCGTAGCTCAGTTGGCAGAGCATTGGGCTAGTACTCCAAAGGTCGTAGGTTCGATTCCCACCGTGGCCAGGCATATTTTTCAAGCGTGCCCAGTGTGGATATACACTCAGGAGTAACATCACAAGCATCTTATTCACCTGAAGTACACTACACCAACACAGGAAAATGCTTTGTTTAAACTTGGAGACTGAAAACAGTTTGAAACTATCTAAATTGAATGCTGCTGTAAACTTTTTAGAAAAACTTGTAGGTAAAGTACATATTAATGCTGTATTGTTTATGTTTGATTGCAGAACTTATATTTCCATTCCATAAAATTATTATCCACTCTCCCCATGAAGGGAAAGCAAATTTGACTCACTGTCCTCACACATTTTATATTTAATAAATATTGCTAAATATAATTTCCCCTTTTTAAATTACAGAAATTGTTAGAAGCTGCTCTAGGGACAGTATGAAAGAGGTTTTAGCTGCCTTTGCTGTTACAGAATTTCAAGTGAAAGAATGTTGTCTGTATATCAAGTGTGTGTATTTATTTTGTTGTGTGTATATCAAGTGCACGAGCAGTCAGCAAAATCAAATAAACTATTGGGTTACATCAGGAGATCCACAATCTATATCCACAACCAGGAAGTGAGACGCACATTATACCTTGCACTAGTTCAGCCACACCTGGGGTATGCTACTCAAATATGGGCACCACAATCCACCGAACTAATACGCCACCTTGAACGAACTCAAAGAAGAGCAACCAAATACATCCTTAGTCTTCCATTCTCCTCTACTGACTACACCACCAGACTTCAAACTTTAGGACTCTTACCGATCTGCTGTTGGCATGAATATCTAGACATGGTACTCTTTTATAAAATAACTCACAAACTAGTAATCATCAAAGCATCACTACATCCAACTATCCGCACTTCCAGATCGACTAGATCCTCCGCCAATAACAGTCCTAAGTTCGTCGTGCCAAAATTCGGGCAACTCGAATATGGAACCATCTCGTTGATGAACTTAATTTGAATGCGGATAGTCTTTCGTCATTTAAGTCTGCAATGTTTAAGTACTATATTTCCTCTTTGTACTCGTATTACGATGCTGAGGGTCCTCGTAGTTATAAAACTATATGTCCTAAGTGTAATTCTGTTTGTAGCCTCACAGCGTCATTATTGTGCTGTATGTAGGAACTGTTAGTACTGTTGTTTGTTGTTTAACTCTTTCTCAGCGGGTCCCTATAAACGTAGACCGTGCACGATCTATGGCACGGTCTATGACTTCGCCGATTCATATCTTCGGTTTGGTGCATGCTATGTAGATGAAAATACCACCATTCGATTCAGTGAAACAGTATCTCCTAATTCCTATCGATAGTTTTATTTAAATATAGTTTTAGTGAAATTGTATAACTATTTATGACCTTTTGAGAGGTCATGCGGTGTCATATTTCATTATATTAATCAATTGTCTCGAAAAATGTAAACTATCCATACCTTTCGCCGAACATAACTTTGGCCCCTTTGAAGATATCGTTTTCGCTATAGTCTTATTCGAACCAGAATCTAAAACACTATTTAAAGTGTTATTTTCAAGCTTGTAGGATTAGTCTTTCGTCTTTTATTTCGGTATTTCAATCTGTTGTGATACTAGTGAAGTCAGCGGGATATTTTCGACCGGAAATACACTTTAGATTTGCGAAAACATCGCGTGTTTACATCCTAGCGCTCGGAAAACGTCTGCAATCGATTCTATAGGTCAAATTACATCTGCAGCATGATTTTCACGTGCATTGGGCTACGGGTACTCCTTATTGGCCAATTTGACGTGCAGCACGCGCGTGCGAGTAAAAAAACCAATGAAACCCGATATTTTGAAAAATTCAAAATAAACATTTCTACTCGCCGTATTCAAACGAAACTTTCTACATAAAAGCGCTTGAATACAAGGAATATTTCACTCATATTAACTTGTGGCGAATTCTGAAGAGTTTAGATGCCTTTAGAAGATATTCAACTTTTTCTCCATATGAAAATACAGAATGTTTGGCCAAGCCACAGAGGATATACTACGCAGAGGTGGAACTCAGCCAAAAAAGTGTAACCGGCCACCAAAAGCTTAGCCAGTGCGCTAAAGAGAGGCATTCACCCCCCCGAACTCAAATTTCAAGATGGTGCCCGAGTGTTTCAGAAAATAATCGGCACGAGAAACACTTATTATTTTGCTCATAACAGTTTTCCTTTACTAAAGTTGTTATTAACATGTTTATATAATTCGTCCTTGAAAGATGTGTTGGTATGAGAAACCTTTGAAGATTATCTACCGATTTATATGGCACTGTTATTCATCGTAGGAGTGGAAAATTGAAATTCCGAAATTACCGAGAAATTAATACTCATGTGAGCCATGTCTAAAGGATTTAGAAGAAATATAAATGGTATAATAACTTATGCGCAGCTGGATATCGTTGTATTTAATATTTTGTGAAATACTTAGGCAGAAATCAGTCAAGATTTCACTTTTTGAAACTATAGCAGTATATGGCACCCTGTTTATAATAGTGATAAAAATCATAAAACGTGAGGGATGTTGGTTTTTTACATTTCAAACACGCTATATTAAAAAAATATGATGTACATAGTTCATATTTAACATCATTCAGGTTGCTATTCTTTAAATGAATTTTGATTAGAGTTTCTGAATGAGATGCAGATGCTGAAACAATGTGAAAGTTGGGTATTCTTTACTTTCATGTGTTGTGATGCAACATCTCGGCACATGGTGGTCAACTCTAAAAGGAAACACAGTTCCTGGTGTGAGTAAATTTTTCACTGTCTTGACCTCATGTTTGCTGGCGAATACATGCAATTTAGCCTCATTTGCTTGCTCCCCAAGTAATTAGTGTTGATACTGTACATGTTGACCACCATGTATAACCCTATGTATAACACCTTGATGTTACCAATTGCCGTAGGTTCAATTCCTACCAGAGGACCTTGTGCTGCATTTTTCGCAGTCGTTCCTGGTCAGGTCTTAAAATGTATATAATCACTTGGATTACAAACCCTAACATTCTAAATATATTAATTCCACCAAGTGAAGTGCAAAGAAACCACATCATCCAAGTTCACCTTATCACAACCCGCACACCCGATTACCTATATTTACATGAACTTACGGTTACAGCTCAACAGCTGGTCTCTGTAGCTCAGTTGGTTAGAGCGCTGCACTGGAATCGCAGGGCCGTAGGTTCAATTCCTACCAGAGGACCTTGTGCTGCATTTTTCGCAGTCGTTCCTGGTCAGGTCTTAAAATGTATATAATCACTTGGATTACAAACCCTAACATTCTAAATATATTAATTCCACCAAGTGAAGTGCAAAGAAACCACATCATCCAAGTTCACCTTATCACAACCCGCACACCCGATTACCTATATTTACATGAACTTACGTTACAACTCAACAGCTGGTCTCTGTAGCTCAGTTGGTTAGAGCGCTGCACCGAAATCGCAAGGCCATAGGTTCAATTCCTACCAGAGGACCTTGTGCTGCATTTTCGCAGTCGTTCCTTGTCAGGTCTTAAAATGTATATAATCGCTTGGATTACAAACCTTAACATTCTTTATTATTTTACTCTGTCTAACGCCAGATTATTTTACTCTGTCTAATGCTATACGATTTTACTCGTCAAGGGGAGAGTGCTGGCACTTAGTGGGTTAACTCGTCTATCTACCCATGATGTGTCTAGTTAACCCATTGAGTCACATTGCACCCTACCCTACTTTATTATTTTCTGTCTAATTCCAGATAATTTTAGTTGTCAAGGGGAGAGTTCTGGGTTAATATTTAAGTACAGACTTGCTGAGATCAAAATTTTGGTTAATTGAGGAATGGTGATTACAAATATTTCTTACTCTTATTCTTTAAAATATTAATGATTTGGGAACAATGCTATACCAAGGCAGCATTCACTACCCTGTGGGTATACTAGTATTTAAGTAGAATTAGCCTCTTCCACAGGCAACTCTGTATTGTTTTGTATAGTAGGTTTTATATTTTGGGATTTTTTCCTCCCATGTTTTGCTCTCCCCAGGCCTAACACTATTTTGCTTGAAGCTCGACCAAAGTTTGATCATTTACAAAATGCATTTACAATACAAAACAAATAACAGTTGAAAACCTGTTATACAAAACAATACAGAGTTGCCTGCACAGAGGAGGTAAAAATAGAATATGATTTATAACAGCAGATAACATTGAATTGTAGAAATCGAAGAAAAATATAACATTCAAACAATTGATGTAAACAATGTATTTTTCAGTCTTTTCAATATATCCACATTTATCAAATGTTTATATTTTACCATTATTTGTCTGACACTCCGGGGCTTAACACTGATACATGTAGGATAATCTATGCTGAAGAAACTGGAGGTAAACAGTTGGGGGGCTGGAAAAATTCTTCACGAGGGCCTTCATATGCAGCTGATGTAGAATCCAATGGCTTATTATTACCTACATTACAGGAAACAAAAACATGAATCTATAGATTGACCTCTCAGACTCTGGCTTATAGCCTCACTTCTACTTCCAGGGGAAGTGAAATTGTCACACTCACACATTATTAGT